TATATATATATATTAATTCCGCAGGTAGTATTACAGGTATTAATAGTACCTGTATATTTTAAATGCAATTAATTAATTTAATATATATATATTAAAAATTATAGAACAAAGTGTTTATACTTTTCGGTTGAATTATCCTACAAATAGCTTATGCATAGTTGTCTCTGCATAAAAAGATGGGACAGAATAAAGTATTTCAATATCTAACTAATGACACACTTCATCTTCAACTATATATGCTTTGTTACAGTAATAACCCTATGGTGGACTGTAATTTAAATTTTGCATTATCTTGCAATGACTGTAAAATAAACATGAAGCCCTTTCAAATATGTCAGTAGTGTAGAAAACACCATGATGCATTAGCATGGGAAACTACAAACATGTACTTTACTTAATGTGTTGCATAAATCACAGCAAATTCATAATACATAAAGCGTACATTTTATGAGCCATGCAGAATGCGAAAGGAACTGTGTCCTTATGTAAACTATTACTGTACCATCCAAATTCATGGTAAGGTATAATAAAAGTAAAGCAGTAAGATGAGAACATTTGGTCTGATTTGAATAGCACTTGGTTCTATATATTCAGAACTGGTCGGTGAGTTGGTCTTTTTATGGCATTACATTTGTTTATAGCCGCTGATAATCTCACACAGTCACCATGATGTCATTTAGGTCCTTGCGTTTGAGGTCAGGCACTTTGGCGTCAGATGCAGGGTAGCCAACAGGAAGCAGCATTAGAAGCTTCTCATTGGCCGGTTGCTGGAGGAGGGACCTGAGCTGTGGGCTGCAGTTCAGAGGCGTGGTCGTCACGGTAACCAGCCCCACATTCTAACACAAAAAATGTGAACAATGCAGAGAACAATAGAATATTACATGTCATTCAAATCAAAGATCCACATTTTGCTAAACAGATGTTTGCTTTGTGTTTTTTGCGTCTGACCTGCAGAGCAGCCAGCAGGATGCCACAGGAAATGGACACGCTGATTTCATTGTAATAGTGAGTCTTTTTCTTGCCGCTGGGCAGAACTCCACATGTCTGCTTAAACACTAGAATCAGATACGGAGCCACATCCAAATACTCCTTCACCCAGTTTGTCCTGTGAAAGATACGTTTAAGTCTAAGTAAGACACACTACTTGACCCTCTAACACTAGCATTTCTATTTCTATTCTACTTGTTTTCTTTTTGTTTATTAGAAAAAATGACCCTCTAACACTAGCGTTCTCTGTATACTTGTTACATTTTTATTATTTATTAAAAATGAAAAACATGTACATGTACTGCGTTAGACTAACTGGGACTATTTACAGTACTTTATTGCTCTTTTGTTGGTTTTGATTGCTGTATGTTTGCTGTATGATGTATACACACACACACACACACATACACACACAACTAAAATGGAAGAAACCGACCACAAAGGGGCTCTAGTAACACAGGAGTTTATGAAAACATTGTACACATGTAATAATTATATTAATTATCAAATATAACATCTATATTTATCTGTAAATCCTACCAAAAATCCCACCAATAAATAATATTGATAAAACTATGTAATAATAATAAATTATATTATATATTACAGTGTATAGTATTATCAATGCTATTTAATTTGATAACTATTTAAATTACATAAATATTACTATTTCAAAAAAATATGTTTATTATATTACTGTATATAGTATTACAACAACAACGACAATAATAATATTTCTTATAATATTATTATTAAATTACTTTGTATAGTGTTATAATAATAATAATACCATCATATCATTATTATTATATTACAGTTTATTATATTATACATATTATTATTTTATACATAATATTATTAAATGATTGTGTATTCTATTTTACCTATAATATAATATTCAATAATAATTATTGTTTTTTACAATAATAATTAGTTTTATAATTTATTATAGTTATATTATTATTATTATTATTGGCATCTGTTTGAAACAAGGTTATCCATTGTAAAAAATAAATAAGATGGAAAAAATGTAACCATAAGGGGGCACTAATATCATAGCTAAATGCATTTTAGTCAACACATTATTATGATAACATAACATATTATTATTATTATGAGTCTCAATAACATACTCATATTATTATTATGAGTCTCAATAACATACTCATATTATTATTATGAGTCTGTAATTGTTATATTCAATTTTTAACACATAATACTAGTACATAGTAATAGTACAGTAATAAAAAACTAATACATATTATGCATACAACTATATATTATGTAGTCTCTTGTCTATTTGAAACACACCTCAGTTTCTTCAGGTCATGGACCCACTTGTCTCCCATCCTTTGCTTGTAGTTGATCTCCTCCTCCTCCTCAATGATCTCTCTGATCTTGTGTTTGACATCTGCATCAGACACCACCACAAACGTCCAGGGCTCAGTGTGAGCTCCACTAGGTGCAGTGCCTTACACACACACACACACACACACACACACACAAACAGACAGTAAATGAGTGCTGGAGACAAAGGTTTGGCTTTGGATTGTTTTGTCTTTTGAGCTGAATTGGGATTTGCCAAATCAGACAACAAATTCAGCCCTGATTGTGATTGCATTACCTGCAGTGCGTATGACATTGTCAATCACTTCTTTTGGTACCGGTTCTGGACTGATGAAGCGGACAGACCGTCTAAGATTCATGAGCGAGTAGAACTTCTCCGAACGTTCCAGCGTCTCATTAGCAGAGTACTGAGCTGGGGTGTATGGAATATGGGGTAGGTTTTCTTCCTCTGTTGTGTCTAGCCAATCATCCTCCTCCTCCTCTGTGCACAGACAATCGATTGAGTCACCAACACCAATAAACAGAAACACAATTTCACAGGAATAGTTTACTGGATTAAAGGAATAGTTTCAGTGGATTCTCTGCAGTGAATGGGTGCCGTCAGAATGAGTTTTTAATCAGCTGTTTGGACTCTCATTCTGACGGCACCCATTCACTGCAGAGGATCCATTGGTGAGCAAGTGATGTAATGCTACATTTCTCCAAATCTGTTCCCATGAAAAACAAATTCATCTACATCTTGGATAGCATGAGGGTGAGTAAATGATTCATTTTTGGGTGAACACATTTTTTTTTTAATTCTCTACTCTTTGTCTTTTGTTTTGAAAATGTTATGTAATCTAATGGAAGAACATTGTCATATATGAAAATTATGATTGCATATATATGCAATTATGAAAAAATATTAACAGTATATAAACAGTGCACATAATTGTTCAACAGACATTAAAAGGCCATTTTGAAAGTGGGCTGTAATAGAGCATGTTGCAACATCTTAAGCAAGACTTGAACCTTTGCATTCGGTTCAAAACTTTTTTCCCAGCACAGAGTTCTTACCTTCTTTGAGATCTCAAACTTTAAGATCTCTTCAAAAGTTCTGCATCAATACGCTCGACTTGGTGCCCACTTCAAAGACATTTTGCTATTGTGTGGAGGTTACGGTTGCTTTCCACTCTTGTACTGACTCGAACCATTTGTTCCTTGAATTGATGCTTTACTGTTTTACATCCTGGTGTACTTTTGTACAGCTTATTAGTTTTGCATATATATATATTTTTTATATATGCATAAGAGGACTTA